TAAACAGTCTGCAAACTGTTGATGTGTTCAGTAAAACACAGGTACAAAATATCGATGTGTAAACATTGTAGGCTGTTCATTCGACCGAAGAAATATCTTTTTTACTTGGAATTCGTGACACAATTGCTGTATTAATCTGGAGTGATGATACTGACGTAATTGATGACTGGTCAGGATTAGCATCGCTTCGTTCTGGTGCCTATAATCAGCGAATTTTATTTGACTTGGATGAAAAACACCGCAAAGTGTTACACTCACTACCAAAATCACTAATCATTGTTAGTTTTGTTTCAGTTCAACATAAAAGAAAAAAAACTAGTTGTTGCTAAAAGATAATGTTTGATGCGGTTTGTGAGTGTAAATTTTTAGACTGAATATCCGTACAACAAAGATAAATGGCGAAGTATTGAATTTCCATATGCTTCTTCGACAACATCTGGGGTCATCGAGAGTAACGATGGAGCTGCTTTCCTTGGGTGGCCAAACTCATTTCTGGTATCACTGCAAATACCACCTGTGTTTCCAAAAACACAAACCGTTGCTGGAAAAGTAATTATTTTTTTAAATCATTATTTTTTAATCGAGTAAATTTGACAAACTGTCTTTTAAAACCACAAATTTTGTTGCTGTATTTAGCCGTAAAATCCTCAATTAGATAAACACTTAATGCTAAAGCACAGCAGACTTAGTGTTTAAAAGTTGTACTTTGACTTTCAAATTGTAATAGTTTTGAAGTTGTATAAAACTGTTTTTTAGACTGTAATCTTAAATCTTAATCTTAAATCTTAGAAGTAACCAATATTTGTAAGACAAATTAAAATTTTGATTCGATATAGACGAAAATAAAATTATACTTATGAAAAAGAAAAAGAAACATTTAAACTAGATGTAGTTTTTTCTTTCACCAAATGAACAAAATCTGACTATTATTTTCTAACAAATTTGGTAAATAAAATTATAATTTAGTGTAAACTACATTAATGCTCGTTGCTGTTGTTATCGTTGACCAAAGGTTTATTTTTTGTTACCTTTTTTTTTCTTCTAGTTAACATTTGTGCGAAAAAAGTACTTGCGCGAAGAGAATCAGTTGGGAAAATCTGGACTAGTAATCTATTTGGTGGACAAAATTATTGATGTTCAAAGTCCAGAGATTGACTATGGTGTAAAGGTATATGCTTGTTTAAAAAAAATTTTAACAACTAGTCATAAAATGATGAAGAAGATTTAAGATAAGAGATAAGCAAGAAAAAATTTGTTTATTTCGATGTTCGACGGTACGTACTGTAGTTGAAAGAGTTTCCAAACTAACGATTACCACTAAATCGTTGTGAAAAAGATCAAGAAAAAAAACTTTTTTTTAGATTTTTATTGGTTATAAAGGACTAATCTCAATCGAAAATCGAGACGCCGTCGAGCAACAGTATCAAACACGAGCTGTCGGTCAACTCAGAAAGGAAAATTGCTATTATTTTGAACTAATTGACAGGTGATAATTACTGCTGCTGCAACTTCACACATTTTCTACCGGTCTTTCTGTCTCAGTCCTTCCCTTCCTTCCTCCACGGCATTGGTCAACCTCCATCATTTTCC